ATAATAATAATAATAATAATAATAATAATAATAATAATAATAATAAAGCAAAAACTGTAGGACGCAGCCTGGCTCGCTAAAAAAGTGATATCCTTATCTCGCAATCTGATCTACTTAACTCGCAATGAAACACTCGTGAACATTCACTGCATGACCAAGAAGATGTCTCATATGTGAAGAAGTTTGAAATGATGAATGATATCGATTACAGATGATTGCCGAGACAGCAGATGTGATATTGTGTTATCTAGCACCGTGCCTGATCGTTGTTGTACTCAATCTACTAGTGGCCGGTAAAGTGAAATCGTCAAGTAAAGGATTCCAGCAATGTCAAGGTACAGATTCACGCCAAAATTCCAGACGACAAGGCGGCTCTAGCACTCATAACGGATCGATGAAGTAAGTGGGCAATAATCTTCGATTGTCTTTGGTTAACCTCGAATGTTCTCATTGCAATTGAATGATTGAACAGAGAATCTGGTGATTGATGCAAAAAATTGGTGGATTTTTAAAGGATTCTTTTGGTGGTGCCGATAGTGTATATCTTATTGAATACACCGTTTTATTTGTTGCGTATGGTCGATACAATAGCGTTGAACGTTTTTCAAAGTAAAGAGTTCTCGATAATGGGCGGTTTAAACGGTGCCGGCATTATATTCATCTATAATACGTCGCATTATCTCTACTATTTCAATTTCGCTTGTGATGTTATCGTGTACGCTTTCTCGAGGTATTATTCTGCTGTTCTTTCTTGAAGGCAGAACTCATTCGTTCTATTTCAAATGATTTTATCAGATTGTCTGATGCTCACGATCAGATGGATAACATTTTCAGATTTTATAAATCTTCTGCAAATCCAGCATAAAATGGGAAATTCTTTGATCTCGGTTGAAGAACTGAAAGCGATTTGAATGAAAAAACGATCGAATGTGAGATTCTTTATTGAGTGAATGACCGTTTCTTGTTTCAGTTCAAATTTTCGTGGAACAGCCGTCATTGTGTGGAGGCAGATTTTGTGTCCGAGATACCGGCAAAGTAAACTGACTCATACGGATCGAGCCAGTCGATACAGTTATCGGTTCACGTCAATTGCTGACCCTGACCGCGTCTTCACGTTCAATTCGATGTCGAGTCGGAGTGCCACGAACATTTGACATCTCAGACGTGCTCCAGTTTTGACCCTGTTCAAACATCCCAAACCGACGGGTTGCTAATCTCTTGTCACTGGTCATCTCCTCAACTCCCTGTCTGTTGCAATAATGGCTTGAGGTTCATGCAAACCTCAAATGCCCATGCAATTCTAGTAGACTGCATTTCCAGATATTGCCTAGTGATCTCAGTGGCTATAGCTTAAGATAACAACTCACTGATTCAGTTATATTGTTTTAACGGATCCATCCAGTCATACTGGCCTTCGGGTTTTCCAGATCAGGACCGTGGATGCTTCGGTAGCGAGGAGAATCAGCCCAGTGAGTGGCTGCCGATCGCCCTTCTGCAATAATCCACTCGAATGCACATCCGTCGCACAAAAATTCTTTACTTCCACCCCCGCTCATCAACGGAGAGAATCGAACTGATCAGTATGAAGTTTGTATCAGATTTGCAGAATATCAAATGTTAAGTGCAGATTCCTGATCTCAAGTGAACAAGAATGCGACATGTGATATTAGACGTTACTGAAACCGTTATAAGCTACACTTATGCACTTTCCGATGTATTTATTGAATTTTTACATGTTTGATGTGATGATTTATTAATAGTGGCAGAGGAATAACCGCAAAGATGTACAAAAGAAAAAGATTTTCTCTCAGAATAAATTCTGAATGTTCTCTGAAAAAAACCAACGACGATTTGTGACTGTTTTATACCATTCATTTTCAATTTCATAATCTTCATCAGTATTTCAACGTATCTCAATCGTCATCTAACAACAACAAACGAGTATCAAATAAAACCAAACCTATCGAGCACAATTCAAAAATGTTCTTTTTAAACGGATGGATCACTTTCATGATTTTCTTCACATCTACTGCTGAAAACCAATGGATTGTTGGGAAAGGGAGCAATTATGGTTGTGTAAATTGTTGGACCGGGGAGGGGGGGAAGGGAATAGCATCTGCCAGATGGTCAAATTGGGGCATAGCGCGTAAGAACGTGAGGAGCACTGGAATACGGAATACCAATTTAGCGATATTGGCAGTGATGAATAAATATTATTGTGACTCACTGAAACGGTAACATTTCGGTTTGCTCACACNCGTTCGATGCACATGCATGTCACTTTTACTATCTTGATCAGGTTCAGCTGAATTGAAATCGCCTTTTGGAGCTTGTTTAATGCAGATTATTTTTCCGCTTAGAATTAGTCGTCGTACGTCAAACGGTTGTAAATCGGCGATCATCAATAAAATCGTTACAACAGCACGAAATAAATAACGATTACACTCCAAATTATATCATATCATTGAATCCCTTCAAACACAGCAAATCCCAATGAATTTTGATCAAAAAAACATTCACAATATTACAGAACACAACCCGACATTAATAAAACGGTTTCAACTGCAGCTCACTGTCAGCGTACGGATTCATTTATACAGAAAAAAGCACGAAGCACGAAAATCCCACAGAGCCAAAACAGTTGAATGCAATTATCCATGCACACAGTTCAATCTGTTTTTCGACGTATGCACTCAGAACTTCAAATCGTGTAACATCCAGCAAAATCATACCAGACTAACACAGTTCCCGAACAAAGAGTCAACAAAAATGTTTCTCCTAAAAGCCAGATTAATCAGATGAGAATCTACCTTTCCAGCTATTGCCAAGAAACTCTTTCTAAAATCAAAGTTCTGAGTGCGACGTATCCTATGGTAGCACATTAAGGTATTTGGCCGTAAACACTCGCATAATCGAGACGATATTATCGATAGTTGGGTAGTGCAGTGCTGATTCGTTATCGCTTAGTTGATGCCAAACATCCGGGAAAGGCACCGGTATAATATGAAGTATGGGAACACCACGTCTGCGGAACGGAACGTGATCATCCTCGACGGCCGCCCACGATAAGCCTGAGACGAATATATGCGGCAAATGCTGCAGGCAATTCAAACGGTGCAACTCCAGTTCTGAAAATTTTTCTCATAGTGAAAACACAATAAGAGATACTGAATATATGCACACAGATCGTAAAAAGTGATAAACATAATAATTAATTAGCATAATCTTGA